GAGTGCCCACGTCCGAAGCGTCGAGGGTTAGGTCCCTCAACATTCTGGCCAGGCCAAACTCGCCCAGCTTGGCGTTGCCGGCAGCGTCCAGGAATATGTTGGACGGCTGCACGTCCCTGTGCAGGATCGCTCCCTCCTGGACGTAGTGGCACCGACGCAGGGCACGGCACACTTGGACGAGCACCCGCCAGATATAGCGCTCCTCCAACCGGCGTCGCTGTGTCCGTGCCCGCTCGACAAGCTGGGCGAGATCGCCGCCGGCACAGCACTCCGTAACAATATGCAATACCTGCATCACCCGATTGTCAAATTGGTGATGGTATTGCACAATGTTAGGGTGCTGCAGTTCCCGGAGCTTGGTAAGCTCCGAGAACAGCGCCCCGCGTTTGATCTCGTCCAGCTCGTCGTAGCTGATGGCCTTCAAGGCGAACAGCTCGCCGGAGCTCTTGTCCCGCACATTGAACAAGGCCCCGAACGAGCCGTTGCGCATCACGCCCAGCACGTCGTAGTCGCGGAGGGTTTTTTGGGAGAAATCCATGCGATCCATTTTTTAACTTTGAGACACGTGGGTATGCTGTTCACGGTATGTATTGTTTTGATCTTAAATTCCTTTTAGTCTTTCTTTAAGTCTTCAGAATCATGGAAAGGAATGCAAACTTCGGCACGCCGACGTTTGTATACCCTTTCAGATAGAACTTCGATGACTAGGAATCAATACAATATAAATTATATATGTATATATTTAATTTAAAATCCAATGAAGTAATACCTGCTTTCATTTTATTCACCTATACATATTATATTTGCAGTTTTACCTTCACAGATTCGCATTTTTCCTCTACATCTAACGATCGTTTATATGTCACCTATATTATATAGACGACCGATTTTCATAACATTTGACACAAAAGTTAAGACTAATATAAAATGGCTATATCTCAAATTTGATGAAAATCGGTTGCAAACTGAAAAAGTTATTTTTTATTATTTATTATAATTTAATTTATTTTTAATTGTATTAATTTCTCGATCGTTCCTATGGGGCCTTATGATATAGTCCTCGGATTTTAAAAAATTAAGTTCTTAAGTATTAATTTATAATTTAATTCATTTTTAATTGTATTAATTTATACACAAAATTGTAGAATAATATGAAATGGCTACATCTCAACTTTGATCAAATTCTGTTGAAAACTAAAAATGTTATCATTTTTAATTGTATTAATTTCTCGATCGTTCCTATCGGAGCTATAGGAGCTATATGATATAGTCGTCCGATTTTCATAAATAATAACACAAAATTTAAAATAATATAAAATGGCTATATCTTAAATTTGATCAAATTCTTTTAAAAACTAAAAATGTTATAATTTTTTTGTAAACATTTCTTATCAGTCCTATGGCAGCTATATGATATAGTCGTCCGATCCGGCCCGATCCGATATATATACGAGTGAGAGTATATAGAAGATTAACTACGAAGTTTCATTTAGATAGCTTTAAAACTGAGAGACTAGTTTGCGTAGAAACGGACAGACGGACATGGCTAGATCGTCTCGGCTGGTGATCCTGATCAAGAATATATGTACTTTTATGGTAGGAGGTGCTTCCATCTCTGCGTTACAAACTTCTGACTGAAATCATAATACCCTGCAAGGGTATAAACAGTCAACTGTTTTTGGTAGAGTTGTCGAGAAATCGAAATATCAGTATGGTGTTGATAAAATTGTTTTTTATTTGTGACAAGTGAAAAGGGAGAAACGGACAAGTGCTGGCCACCTGCCGCCTGCGCTCTTAATCTGGGTAAGAGTCCAGGAATATAGCTGGATTCTTCTTGGCGAGACTCTGCTTGGTTTGCGGGGTCAAAGAAAAGGATCTACAGCTTCTCAGGCAGCAGAATAGAGGAGGCACCACCGCCGCCATTGCACATGGAGGCACATCCCAGCTCGCCCTTTTTCAGGCTATGCGACAGATGGGCCACCAACGCGCATTGCCCATGATCACCTCCTGGACATCGGATTTTTCAATCCCCGAAGGACGACGATTCGATGATTCGGACCTGGTTCTGCCATACGACGTGAAGTTCTCCAAGCATTTCGTGGCCCGGCTGAGAAAGGTGACCAGACCCAGGATTTGGGACAGACGCTCCCTGAGGACCAGGTGGGACCAGGAGGAGCAAGTGGGATTAAACAAACGGGAGGTAAGTAAGGAGACGCTAATAGTTATTCCATATTCTTACATTTCCTTATGCTCTATTACAGCCATGCCCAAGACTCCGGTCGGATCGTTTATGGCCAGAAGCAACACCACTGGCTTGGCCAACATGTCGAAGTTCGGGCTCAGTCAGTCGCAGTCCTTCAGCGGAGTCCTCGGTCAATCCAAGTAAGTTTCTGAAATCGACAAGCGCATGGAATGTATTCTAAAGTAAAAACACATCTCTCTCCTCCAGTCGCGCCTCCTTGGGAACTCCGTTGAGCCAGCTCCAAAGTAGCATTAGCCAGCAGTCCATGTCCATGAAGCCAGCGAAACCGATCGAGCCGGAGTTGTGTTTGGAGCACATCTGGACGGAGAACATCTACGGAGTGTAAGTGCTACCCTGGACATCCTTGAACTGCATTCTATTTCATCTCTGCCCTTCAGACAACGTGAACTGTGCGAGATGGCCACCCGAGCCTTCATCCACACGGATTTGGTGGGCCAGACATTTCTGTGCTACCTGCTCGCCCGCTCCTGCCGCCTCCAGATGGTCCGCCTCACTGGCTATGGAAGCAGTGAAGTGCAGCTCTCCACACTGGCCACGACTCTGGCAGCCAAGGATGCTGTGGGTCTGAATGTAAATGGTCGCAGTCCTCGATCCTAGCGGTAGCCTAATTCTCTACACCGGAACCGTGCTCATCGGTTCATTATGCTATTTAATTTTTATGTTACATATAAGCCCAGCATTCCAGAATTTAGTTAATATCATAGGCAAATTGCACAAAGTTTGGCCCCAAAAAGTTGTAATCTTAAAAGTAAAACCACTTACAAAAAACGTAAAAAAAATTATTAATTATTAAGTAAACAAAAGGAATATATATTCCACAGTTTCGACTAGTTTCCACGGTTTCCAGGGCTAATGCACTCCACAATCTCACCTCCACAAATGATTTCATTTTTATAAGATTTTCTGCTGTATTTTAGTTTTCTGAAATAGAAATATATATATATATATATATATATTTATATATTTAAAATATATATTTGTCAAATAAGTCTTCCAAAGTATTCTTCAATATATATATATTAAATATATATATATTTATTTACTTTTTAAACATATATATACTTATATAAATTTATATAAAATAAGTCTTCCAACAATTGGCGATCGCCAAAGTATTCCTATATAAGTATTTACTTATAAGTATTCCTCCACAAAGCCAAACTCACCCATAAAATCTAGCCTTGAAGCCTTTTAAACATTTAAACATTAAAACACATTTAATCGAGCGGCCACAGAAGCCAATGCTCATAATTTTAAGTTAGCCTTTAGTTTATAACTAACCGCTAGCTTTATATAAATAAAAAAATACATTTATAAGTATTTTTATTATTTTTTAAAATTTATTTTAAGTATATATATATATACATATAAATATATATAAAATATTTAAAACATCCTCCTCCATTCTCCTTCCGGACTACCATAAAATTTAAGACTAATATAAAAAGGCCATATCTCAAATTTGATGAAAATCTGTTGCAAACTGAAAAAGTTATTATCTATTAATTTATAATATAATTTATTTTGTATTGTATTGTATTAATTTCTACACAAACTTGTATAAATGGCTCAATATGATATAGTCGTCGGATTTCCATAAAATTAGACACAAAATTTAAGACGAATATATAATGGCTATATCTCAAATTTGATGAAAATCTGTTGCAAACTGAAAAAGTTCTTATTTATTAATTTATAATATAATTTATTTTGTATTGTATTGTATTAATTTATACACAAACTTGTAGAAATGGCTTTAAATTCAATTTGATGAATATCTGTTGAAAACTAAATATTATAATATTTAATTGTATTCATTTCTCTATCGTTCCTATGGGGGCTATATGATATAGTCGTCGGATTTTCATAAAATTGTACACAAAATTTAGGACTAATATAAAATGGCTATTTCTCAAATTTGATCAAAATCTGTTGCAAACTGAAACAGTTCTTATTTATTATTTTATAATTTAATTTATTTTTAATTGTATTAATTTCAACACAAAATTGTAGAATAATATGAAATGGCTATACATTCAATTTATTGAAAATCTGTTAAAAACTAAAAATGTTATCATTTTTAATTGTATTAATTTCTCGATCGTTCCTATGGGGGCTATAGACACAAAATTATAGAATAATATAAAATCGCTATATCTTAAATTCGATCAAATTCTGTTAAAAACTAAAAATGTTATAATTTTTTTTGTAAACATTTTCCGATCATTCCTATGGCCCGTTCCGACATATATACGAGTAAGAGTATATAGAAAATTAACTACAAAGTTTAATTCAGATAGCTTTAAAAAACGGACAGACGGACATGGCTAGATCGACTCGGCTGGTGATCCTGATCAAGATTATATGTACTTTTTATGGTATGAGGTGCTTCCTTCGCTGCGTTACAAACTTCTGACTGAAATCATAATACCCTGCAAGGGTATTAAAATTTAACTGTTTTTGGTAGAGTTGTCGAGAAATCAAAATATCAATCTGGTGTTGATAAAATTGTTTTTTATTTGTGACAAGTGAAAAGGGAGAAACGGACAAGTGCTGGCCACCTGCCGCCTGCGCGCTAAATCTGGGTAAAAGTCCAGGAATATAGCTTCTTGACAAGACTCTTCTTGGTTTGCGGGGTCAAAGAGCCTCCTCGTTCCGACGGCCGGATCTACAGCTTCTCAGGCAGCAGAATAGAGGAGGCACCACCGCCGCCATTGCACATGGAGGCACATCCCAGCTCGCCCTTTTTCAGGCTATGCGACAGATGGGCCACCAACGCGCATTGCCCATGATCACCTCCTGGACATCGGATTTTTCAATCCCCGAAGGACGACGATTCGATGATTCGGACCTGGTTCTGCCATACGACGTGAAGTTCTCCAAGCATTTCGTGGCCCGGCTGAGAAAGGTGACCAGACCCAGGATTTGGGACAGACGCTCCTGGGGACCAGGCCGCAGTCGGCGGGCAACAGTTTAAGTGGGATTAATCAAACGGGAGGTAAGTAAGGAGACGCTAATAGTTATTCCATATTCTTACATTTCCTTACGCTTCATTACAGCCATGCCCAAGACTCCGGTCGGATCGTTTATGGCCAGAAGCAACACCACCACTGGCTTGGCCAACATGTCGAAGTTCGGGCTCAGTCAGTCGCAGTCCTTCAGCGGAGTCCTCGGTCAATCCAAGTAAGTTTCTGAAATCGACAAGCGTATGGAATGTATTTTAAAGTAAAAACTCACCTCTCTCCTCCAGTCGCGCCTCCTTGGGAACTCCGTTGAGCCAGCTCCAAAGTAGCATTAGCCAGCAGTCCATGTCCATGAAGCCAGCGAAACCGATCGAGCCGGAGTTGTGTTTGGAGCACATCTGGACGGAGAACATCTACGGAGTGTAAGTGCTACCCTGGACATCCTTGAACTGCATTCTATTTCATCTCTGCCCTTCAGACAACGTGAACTGTGCGAGATGGCCACCCGAGCCTTCATCCACACGGATTTGGTGGGCCAGACATTTCTGTGCTACCTGCTCGCCCGCTCCTGCCGCCTCCAGATGGTCCGCCTCACTGGCTATGGAAGCAGTGAAGTGCAGCTCTCCACACTGGCCACGACTCTGGCAGCCAAGGATGCTGTGGGTCTGAATGTAAATGGTCGCAGTCCTCGATCCTAGCGGTAGCCTAATCCTCTACACCGGAACCGTGCTCATCGGTTCATTATGCTATTTAATTTTTATGTTACATATAAGCCCAGCATTCCAGAATTTAGTTAATATCATAGGCAAATTGCACAAAGTTTGGCCCCAAAAAGTTGTAATCTTAAAACTAAAACCACTTACAAAAAACGTAAAAAAAATTATCTTTAAACTTAAGTAAACAAAAGGAATATATATTCCACAGTTTCGACTAGTTTCCACGGTTTCCAGGGCTAATGCACTCCACAATCTCACCTCCACAAATGATTTCATTTTTATAAGATTTTCTGCTGTATTTCAGTTCTCTGAAATAGAAATATATATATATATTTTTTATAAGTATATATATTAAATATATATATATTTATTTAATATTTAACATATATATACTTATATAAATATATATAAAATAAGTCTTCCAACAATTGGCGATCCCCAAAGTATTCGTATATAAGTATTTATTTATATTATTTATACAAAGCCAAACTCACCCATAAAATCTAGATTTTCAGCCCATCTTATAACATTGAAACTGTTCATATTTAATCGAGCGGCCACTTCTGTGGCCAATGCTCATAGTTTTAAGTTAGCCTTTAGTTTATAACCAACCGCTAGCGTTATATAAATAAATAAATACATTTATAAGAATATTTATTATTTTTTAAAATTTATTTTTAAGTATATATATGTATACATATAAATATAAAACATCCTCCTCCATCCTCCTTCCGGACTACCACAAAATTTCCATCAGCGGCAGGGCACGCTGCCAGTCGTCGTTGGTGGCCTCCAGTCCGTGGATCAGGTGCTCACAGCTAATGGCGTCCAGAGTCTCGTGATTCGTCTGCAGAGTGGCGCAAGTGTGCAGAATCTCCGCCTGCTCTGCCGCATTGTAGACCCTCAGCAGACGGCCTACTGCACATAGTCCTTGGCCAGGGCCAATTGGCGAGGTCCGCTGCACACGCCCAGGATCACGACGTCCACGTAGTGAGCGTTGATGTGCTTGTGGCCACTAGGGACCGCGCCGGTCTCCTCCAGCCACTCATCGCCGGCCACTCATCCAGCCGATCGGGCGGCAGCTGGCCCAGCTGGCCCAGCTGGGGTCGTGCCTCCGCTGACTATTCTGGCTGAACTGTAAAAGGTTGAAATTTAAATGTTAGTTTTATAAATCGCTTACATACTAAATACATACTTCGGTTCCTGTTCCTCCTAAGTCGCTTGTTTATGCGATCTTGCGCATGGACCAGATGCTGCTGGCAGGTTTTGTTGAACAAAAGTTCGCTATTTGCGAACTTTTGTAACGCAACACCTGTAAGATAATTTAAATAAAATTAATTAAATATATTATTTTTTCTATATAATATTTTTACCTTTTATTAGGAGGAACAATTTGAATTTTTTGAAGCTAGGCTTCGTCCTTGTCCCTCTCCACGAGAGCTGCACGCTCAAACTGTCAACCAGGACGGCTTTCAGCACGTCCCTGGTGAAGCGAGCAACATCAATGCCATCTATTTGCCGTATTTTAGATTTCTGAAATATAAATAAATATTTAAAAACTGTAGAATATTTTTTAAAAATTAGTCCTCACCATCTGTTGCCTCGCCTCTTCGTTTGACAGTAAGAGCGTGTCAAACTCCCGGAGCCCCTCCATTGTGGCAAATGGTAGGATTGGCAACGTCGCCGAAGAGGAACAAGGAGAAGGTCCTTCTGAAAAAAGTCGAATTTGATTAGTATGTCATATAATAATAATATAATATAATAATATAGCACAAAATAAAAGTACTCACCAGCCTCGACGAGGGTCGGGAAACGGCCGCCCAGCTCGCTGACATTCCGGACCACCAACGGATTCAGCAAGATCAAGTCGACGCCCGGACGTTGTTCACGATCTACGGCCAGCATAGCTGAGATGGTCTCCTGTAGATCGGAACCGTACACGGCAGGAATCCGACGGAACACGCCCTGGGCGGACAGCTGAGCGAAGGTGGGCCCATGGAATGGTGGACGCAGGGCGCACATCTCGTACACCACGCAGCCCAGGGCCCACACGTCGCTCTTCCGGTCGGATATCCCGCCGCGGAGCAGCTCCGGACTCATGTAGTCCGGAGTGCCCACGTCCGAAGCGTCGAGGGTTAGGTCCCTCAACATTCTGGCCAGGCCAAACTCGCCCAGCTTGGCGTTGCCGGCAGCGTCCAGGAATATGTTGGACGGCTGCACGTCCCTGTGCAGGATCGCTCCCTCCTGGACGTAGTGGCACCGACGCAGGGCACGGCACACTTGGACGAGCACCCGCCAGATATAGCGCTCCTCCAACCGGCGTCGCTGTGTCCGTGCCCGCTCGACAAGCTGGGCGAGATCGCCGCCGGCACAGCACTCCGTAACAATATGCAATACCTGCATCACCCGATTGTCAAATTGGTGATGGTATTGCACAATGTTAGGGTGCTGCAGTTCCCGGAGCTTGGTAAGCTCCGAGAACAGCGCCCCGCGTTTGATCTCGTCCAGCTCGTCGTAGCTGATGGCCTTCAAGGCGAACAGCTCGCCGGAGCTCTTGTCCCGCACATTGAACAAGGCCCCGAACGAGCCGTTGCGCATCACGCCCAGCACGTCGTAGTCGCGGAGGGTTTTTTGGGAGAAATCCATGCGATCCATTTTTTAACTTTGAGACACGTGGGTATGCTGTTCACGGTATGTATTGTTTTGATCTTAAATTCCTTTTAGTCTTTCTTTAAGTCTTCAGAATCATGGAAAGGAATGCAAACTTCGGCACGCCGACGTTTGTATACCCTTTCAGATAGAACTTCGATGACTAGGAATCAATACAATATAAATTTTATATATATATATATTTAATTTAAAATTCAATGAAGTAATACCTGCTTTCATTTCACCTATACATATTAAATTTTCAGTTTTACCTTCACAGAGTCGCATTTTTCCTCTACATCTAACGATCGTTTGTATGGCACCTATATGATATAGACGACCGATTTTCATAAAATTTGACACAAAATGTAAAACTAATATAAAATGGCTATATCTCAAATTTGATGAAAATCTGTTGCTAACTGAGAAAGTTCTTATTTATTAGTTTATAATTTAATTTATTTTTAGTTGTATTAATTTCTACACAAAAAATATGAAATGGCTTTAAATTCAATTTGAACAAAATCTGTTGAAAACTGAAAATGTTATCATTTTTAATTGTATTCATTTCTCGATCGTTCCTAGGGGGGCTATATGATATAAACGTCCGATTTAAAAAAAATTTGACACAAAATTTAAGACTATTATAAAATGGATATATCTCAAATTTGAAAATCCGTTGCAAGCTGATGTATAAATTAATACAATTAAAAATGAATTAAATTATAAATTAATAATTAAGAACTTTTAATTATTAATTTATAATTTAATTCATTTTTAATTGTATTAATTTATACACAAAATTGTAGAATAATATGAAATGGCTACATCTCAACTTTGATCAAATTCTGTTGAAAACTAAAAATGTTATCATTTTTAATTGTATTAATTTCTCGATCGTTCCTATCGGAGCTATAGGAGCTATATGATATAGTCGTCCGATCTTCAAAAAATTTTACACAAAATTTAAGACTAATATAAAATGGCTATATCTCAAATTTGATGAAAATCGGTTGCAAACTGAAAAAGTTATTTTTTATTATTTATTATAATTTAATTTATTTTTAATTGTATTAATTTCTCGATCGTTCCTATGCGGTCTTATGATATAGTCGTCGGATTTTAAAAAATTGTACACAAAATTTAAGATTAATATAAAATGGCTATATCTCAAATTTGAAAATCTGTTGCAAGCTGAAAAAGTTCTTAATTATTAATTTATAATTTAATTCATTTTTAATTGTATTAATTTATACACAAAATTGTAGAATAATATGAAATGGCTACATCTCAACTTTGATCAAATTCTGTTGAAAACTGAAAATGTTATCATTTTTAATTGTATTCATTTCTCGATCGTTCCTAGGGGGGCTATATGATATAGTCGTCCGATTTTCAAAAAATTTGACACAAAATTTAAGACTATTATAAAATGGCTATATCTCAAATTTGATGAAAATCTGTTTCAAACTGAAAAAGTTCTTATTTATTAATTTATATTATAATAACTAAATGTTTTAATTGTATTAATTTATCGATCGTTTCTATGAGCGATTAATGATTTAGTAGTCCGATTTTCATAAAAATTAACACAAAATTGTAGAATAATATAAAATGGCTATATCTTAAATTCGATCAAATTCTGTTAAAAACTAAAAATGTTATAATTTTTTTTGTAAACATTTTCCGATCATTCCTATGGCTGGTTCCGACATATATACGAGTAAGAGTATATAGAAAATTAACTACAAAGTTTAATTCAGATAGCTTTAAAAAACGGACAGACGGACATGGCTAGATCGACTCGGCTGGTGATCCTGATCAAGATTATATGTACTTTTTATGGTATGAGGTGCTTCCTTCGCTGCGTTACAAACTTCTGACTGAAATCATAATACCCTGCAAGGGTATTAAAATTTAACTGTTTTTGGTAGAGTTGTCGAGAAATCAAAATATCAATCTGGTGTTGATAAAATTGTTTTTTATTTGTGACAAGTGAAAAGGGAGAAACGGACAAGTGCTGGCCACCTGCCGCCTGCGCGCTAAATCTGGGTAAAAGTCCAGGAATATAGCTTCTTGACAAGACTCTTCTTGGTTTGCGGGGTCAAAGAGCCTCCTCGTTCCGACGGCCGGATCTACAGCTTCTCAGGCAGCAGAATAGAGGAGGCACCACCGCCGCCATTGCACATGGCTGCTCCTCCGTCGTTCAATGTGGAGGCATTCGCGCTGGAAAACGGTGGCCAGCGGGCCAAACTTATCGAAGTTGTATTCCTCGTCCTCGGCAATGGTGACCTCTGGCAACTGCATCTTCACGGGCACACCATAGGGTGTGGCACCGCATTGCCCATGATCTCCTCCTGGACATCGGATTTTTCAATCCCCGAAGGATGGAGTTTCGATGATTCGGACCTGGTTCTGCCATACGACGTGAAGTTCTCCAAGCATTTCGTGGCCCGGCTGAGAAAGGTGACCAGACCCAGGATTTGGGACAGACGCTCCCTGAGGACCAGGTGGGACCAGGAGGAGCAAGTGGGATTAAACAAACGGGAGGTAAGTAAGGAGACGCTAATAGTTATTCCATACTCTTACATTTCCTTATGCTCCATTACAGCCATGCCCAAGACTCAATCCAAGTAAGTTTTTGAAATCGACAAGCGTATGGAATGTATTTTAAAGTAAAAACTCACCTCTCTCCTCCAGTCGCGCCTCCTTGGGAACTCCGTTGAGCCAGCTCCAAAGTAGCATTAGCCAGCAGTCCATGTCCATGAAGGAGATGCGCAAGATAACGAGCGTGAAGCCAGCGAAACCGATCGAGCCGGAGTTGTGTTTGGAGCACATCTGGACGGAGAACATCTACGGAGTGTAAGTGCTACCCTGAACATCCTTGAACTGCATTCTATTTCATCTCTGCCCTTCAGACAACGTGAACTGTGCGAGATGGCCACCCGAGCCTTCATCCACACGGATTTGGTGGGCCAGACATTTCTGTGCTACCTGCTCGCCCGCTCCTGCCGCCTCCAGATGGTCCGCCTCACTGGCTATGGAAGCAGTGAAGTGCAGCTCTCCACACTGGCCACGACTCTGGCAGCCAAGGATGCTGTGGGTCTGAGTAGATTGCAAATGGTCCTCGATCCTAGCAGTCCTCGATCCTAGCGGTAGCCTAATCCTCTACGCCGGAACCGTGCTCATCGTTTCATTAGTTATTTCATTTTATTATTATTTTACATATAAGCCCAGCATTCCAGAATTTAATTAATGTCATAGGCAAATTGCACAAAGTTTGGCCGCAAAAAGTTTTAATCTGAAAACTAATAACACTTACCAAAAATTTAAAAATATTATCTTTAAACTTAAGTAAACAAAAGGAATATATATTCCACAGTTTCGACTTGTTTCCACGGTTTCCAGGGCTAATGCACTCCACAATCTCACCTCCACAAATGATTTCATTTTTATAAGATTTTCTGCTGTATTTTAGTTTTCTGAAATAGAAATATATATATATATATATATATATTTATATATTTAAAATATATATTTGTCAAATAAGTCTTCCAAAGTATTCTTCAATATATATATATTAAATATATATATATTTATTTACTTTTTAAACATATATATACTTATATAAATTTATATAAAATAAGTCTTCCAACAATTGGCGATCGCCAAAGTATTCCTATATAAGTATTTACTTATAAGTATTCCTCCACAAAGCCAAACTCACCCATAAAATCTAGCCTTGAAGCCTTTTAAACATTTAAACATTAAAACACATTTAATCGAGCGGCCACAGAAGCCAATGCTCATAATTTTAAGTTAGCCTTTAGTTTATAACTAACCGCTAGCTTTATATAAATAAAAAATACATTTATAAGTATTTTTATTATTTTTTAAAATTTATTTTTAAGTATATATATATATACATATAAATATATATAAAATATTTAAAACATCCTCCTCCATTCTCCTTCCGGACTACCATAAAATTTAAGACTAATATAAAAAGGCCATATCTCAAATTTGATGAAAATCTGTTGCAAACTGAAAAAGTTATTATCTATTAATTTATAATATAATTTATTTTGTATTGTATTGTATTAATTTCTACACAAACTTGTATAAATGGCTCAATATGATATAGTCGTCGGATTTCCATAAAATTAGACACAAAATTTAAGACGAATATATAATGGCTATATCTCAAATTTGATGAAAATCTGTTGCAAACTGAAAAAGTTCTTATTTATTAATTTATAATATAATTTATTTTGTATTGTATTGTATTAATTTATACACAAACTTGTAGAAATGGCTTTAAATTCAATTTGATGAATATCTGTTGAAAACTAAATATTATAATATTTAATTGTATTCATTTCTCTATCGTTCCTATGGGGGCTATATGATATAGTCGTCGGATTTTCATAAAATTGTACACAAAATTTAGGACTAATATAAAATGGCTATTTCTCAAATTTGATCAAAATCTGTTGCAAACTGAAACAGTTCTTATTTATTATTTTATAATTTAATTTATTTTTAATTGTATTAATTTCAACACAAAATTGTAGAATAATATGAAATGGCTATACATTCAATTTATTGAAAATCTGTTAAAAACTAAAAATGTTATCATTTTTAATTGTATTAATTTCTCGATCGTTCCTATGGGGCTATAGACACAAAATTATAGAATAATATAAAATCGCTATATCTTAAATTCGATCAAATTCTGTTAAAAACTAAAAATGTTATAATTTTTTTGTAAACATTTTCCGATCATTCCTATGGCCCGTTCCGACATATATACGAGTAAGAGTATATAGAAAATTAACTACAAAGTTTAATTCAGATAGCTTTAAAAAACGGACAGACGGACATGGCTAGATCGACTCGGCTGGTGATCCTGATCAAGATTATATGTACTTTTTATGGTATGAGGTGCTTCCTTCGCTGCGTTACAAACTTCTGACTGAAATCATAATACCCTGCAAGGGTATTAAAATTTAACTGTTTTTGGTAGAGTTGTCGAGAAATCAAAATATCAATCTGGTGTTGATAAAATTGTTTTTTATTTGTGACAAGTGAAAAGGGAGAAACGGACAAGTGCTGGCCACCTGCCGCCTGCGCGCTAAATCTGGGTAAAAGTCCAGGAATATAGCTTCTTGACAAGACTCTTCTTGGTTTGCGGGGTCAAAGAGCCTCCTCGTTCCGACGGCCGGATCTACAGCTTCTCAGGCAGCAGAATAGAGGAGGCACCACCGCCGCCATTGCACATGGAGGCACATCCCAGCTCGCCCTTTTTCAGGCTATGCGACAGATGGGCCACCAACGCGCATTGCCCATGATCACCTCCTGGACATCGGATTTTTCAATCCCCGAAGGACGACGATTCGATGATTCGGACCTGGTTCTGCCATACGACGTGAAGTTCTCCAAGCATTTTGTGGCCCGGCTGAGAAAGGTGACCAGACCCAGGATTTGGGACAGACGCTCCTGGGGACCAGGCCGCAGTCGGCGGGCAACAGTTTAAGTGGGATTAATCAAACGGGAGGTAAGTAAGGAGACGCTAATAGTTATTCCATATTCTTACATTTCCTTACGCTTCATTACAGCCATGCCCAAGACTCCGGTATGATCGTTTATGGCCAGAAGCAACACCACCACTGGCTTGGCCAACATGTCGAAGTTCGGGCTCAATCAGTCGCAGTCCTTCAGCGGAGTCCTCGGTCAATCCAAGTAAGTTTCTGAAATCGACAAGCGCATGGAATGTATTCTAAAGTAAAAACACATCTCTCTCCTCCAGTCGCGCCTCCTTGGGAACTCCGTTGAGCCAGCTCCAAAGTAGCATTAGCCAGCAGTCCATGTCCATGAAGCCAGCGAAACCGATCGAGCCGGAGTTGTGTTTGGAGCACATCTGGACGGAGAACATCTACGGAGTGTAAGTGCTACCCTGGACATCCTTGAACTGCATTCTATTTCATCTCTGCCCTTCAGACAACGTGAACTGTGCGAGATGGCCACCCGAGCCTTCATCCACACGGATTTGGTGGGCCAGACATTTCTGTGCTACCTGCTCGCCCGCTCCTGCCGCCTCCAGATGGTCCGCCTCACTGGCTATGGAAGCAGTGAAGTGCAGCTCTCCACACTGGCCACGACTCTGGCAGCCAAGGATGCTGTGGGTCTGAATGTAAATGGTCGCAGTCCTCGATCCTAGCGGTAGCCTAATCCTCTACACCGGAACCGTGCTCATCGGTTCATTATGCTATTTAATTTTTATGTTACATATAAGCCCAGCATTCCAGAATTTAGTTAATATCATAGGCAAATTGCACAAAGTTTGGCCCCAAAAAGTTGTAATCTTAAAACTAAAACCACTTACAAAAAACGTAAAAAAAATTATCTTTAAACTTAAGTAAACAAAAGGAATATATATTCCACAGTTTCGACTAGTTTCCACGGTTTCCAGGGCTAATGCACTCCACAATCTCACCTCCACAAATGATTTCATTTTTATAAGATTTTCTGCTGTATTTCAGTTCTCTGAAATAGAAATATATATATATATTTTTATAAGTATATATATTAAATATATATATATTTATTTAATATTTAACATATATATACTTATATAAATATATATAAAATAAGTCTTCCAACAATTGGCGATCCCCAAAGTATTCGTATATAAGTATTTATTTATATTATTTATACAAAGCCAAACTCACCCATAAAATCTAGATTTTCAGCCCATCTTATAACATTGAAACTGTTCATATTTAATCGAGCGGCCACTTCTGTGGCCAATGCTCATAGTTTTAAGTTAGCCTTTAGTTTATAACCAACCGCTAGCGTTATATAAATAAATAAATACATTTATAAGAATATTTATTATTTTTTAAAATTTATTTTTAAGTATATATATGTATACATATAAATATAAAACATCCTCCTCCATCCTCCTTCCGGACTACCACAAAATTTCCATCAGCGGCAGGGCACGCTGCCAGTCGTCGTTGGTGGCCTCCAGTCCGTGGATCAGGTGCTCACAGCTAATGGCGTCCAGAGTCTCGTGATTCGTCTGCAGAGTGGCGCAAGTGTGCAGAATCTCCGCCTGCTCTGCCGCATTGTAGACCCTCAGCAGACGGCCTACTGCACATAGTCCTTGGCCAGGGCCAATTGGCGAGGTCCGCTGCACACGCCCAGGATCACGACGTCCACGTAGTGAGCGTTGATGTGCTTGTGGCCACTAGGGACCGCGCCGGTCTCCTCCAGCCACTCATCGCCGGCCACTCATCCAGCCGATCGGGCGGCAGCTGGCCCAGCTGGCCCAGCTGGGGTCGTGCCTCCGCTGACTATTCTGGCTGAACTGTAAAAGGTTGAAATTTAAATGTTAGTTTTATAAATCGCTTACATACTAAATACATACTTCGGTTCCTGTTCCTCCTAAGTCGCTTGTTTATGCGATCTTGCGCATGGACCAGATGCTGCTGGCAGGTTTTGTTGAACAAAAGTTCGCTATTTGCGAACTTTTGTAACGCAACACCTGTAAGATAATTTAAATAAAATTAATTAAATATATTATTTTTTCTATATAATATTTTTACCTTTTATTAGGAGGAACAATTTGAATTTTTTGAAGCTAGGCTTCGTCCTTGTCCCTCTCCACGAGAGCTGCACGCTCAAACTGTCAACCAGGACGGCTTTCAGCACGTCCCTGGTGAAGCGAGCAACATCAATGCCATCTATTTGCCGTATTTTAGATTTCTGAAATAGAAATAAATATTTAAAAACTGTAGAATATTTTTTAAAAATTAGTCCTCACCATCTGTTGCCTCGCCTCTTCGTTTGACAGTAAGAGCGTGTCAAACTCCCGGAGCCCCTCCATTGTGGCAAATGGTAGGATTGGCAACGTCGCCGAAGAGGAACAAGGAGAAGGTCCTTCTGAAAAAAGTCGAATTTGATTAGTATGTCATATAATAATAATATAATATAATAATATAGCACAAAATAAAAGTACTCACCAGCCTCGACGAGGGTCGGGAAACGGCCGCCCAGCTCGCTGACATTCCGGACCACCAACGGATTCAGCAAGATCAAGTCGACGCCCGGACGTTGTTCACGATCTACGGCCAGCATAGCTGAGATGGTCTCCTGTAGATCGGAACCGTACACGGCAGGAATCCGACGGAACACGCCCTGGGCGGACAGCTGAGCGAAGGTGGGCCCATGGAATGGTGGACGCAGGGCGCACATCTCGTACACCACGCAGCCCAGGGCCCACACGTCGCTCTTCCGGTCGGATATCCCGCCGCGGAGCAGCTCCGGACTCATGTAGTCCGGAGTGCCCACGTCCGAAGCGTCGAGGGTTAGGTCCCTCAACATTCTGGCCAGGCCAAACTCGCCCAGCTTGGCGTTGCCGGCAGCGTCCAGGAATATGTTGGACGGCTGCACGTCCCTGTGCAGGATCGCTCCCTCCTGGACGTAGTGGCACCGACGCAGGGCACGGCACACTTGGACGAGCACCCGCCAGATATAGCGCTCCTCCAACCGGCGTCGCTGTGTCCGTGCCCGCTCGACAAGCTGGGCGAGATCGCCGCCGGCACAGCACTCCGTAACAATATGCAATACCTGCATCACCCGATTGTCAAATTGGTGATGGTATTGCACAATGTTAGGGTGCTGCAGTTCCCGGAGCTTGGTAAGCTCCGAGAACAGCGCCCCGCGTTTGATCTCGTCCAGCTCGTCGTAGCTGATGGCCTTCAAGGCGAACAGCTCGCCGGAGCTCTTGTCCCGCACATTGAACAAGGCCCCGAACGAGCCGTTGCGCATCACGCCCAGCACGTCGTAGTCGCGGAGGGTTTTTTGGGAGAAATCCATGCGATCCATTTTTATACCCTTGCAGGGTATTATAATTTCAGTCAGAAGTTTGCAACGCAGTGAAGGAGGCACCTCCGACCATATAAAGTATATATATTCTTGATCAGGATCAACAGCCGAGTCGATCTAGCCATGTCCGTCTGTCCGTCTGTCCGTCTGTCCGTCTGTCCTTCTGTCCGTCTGTCCGTCTGTCCGTCTGTCCGTCTGTCCGTTTCTACGCAAACTAGTCTCTCAGTTTTGAAGCTATCTGAATGAAACTTTGTAGTTAGCCTTCTATATACTCTCACTCGTATATATGTCGGAACGGGCCGGATCGGACGACTATATCATATAGCTGCCATAGGAATGATCGGAAAATTTTTACAAAAAAAATTTTAACATTTTCAGTTTTCAATAGAATTGGATCAAATTTGAGATATAGCCATTTTATTATACTCTACAATTTTGTATAAAATTTTATGAAAATCGGACTACTATATCATATAGCTCCCATAGGAACGATAGAGAAATTAATACAATTAAAAATTATAACTTTTTCAGTTTTCAACAGATTTTCATCAAATTTGAGGTGTAGCCATTTTATATTAGTCTTAAATTTTGTGTCAAATTTCATGAAAATCGGACGACTATATCATATAGGTGCCATACAAACTATTGTTTGATGTAGAAGAAAAATGGAAATCTGTGAACGAAAAGCTGCAAATATAATATGTATAGGTGAATGAAATGAAAGCAGGTATTACTTCATTGTTTTTTAACACAAATATATATAATTTATATTGTATGGATTCCTAGTCATAGAATTTCTATCTGCAAGGGTATATAAACTTCGGCGTGCCGAAGTTAGCTTCCTTTCTTGTTTAACTTTGAGACACGTGGGTATGCTGTTCACGGTATGTATTGTTTTGATCTTAAATTCCTTTTAGTCTTTCTTTAAGTCTTCAGAATCATGGAAAGGAATGCAAACTTCGGCACGCCGACGTTTGTATACCCTTTCAGATAGAACTTTGATGACTAGGAATCAATACAATATAAATTATATATGTATATATTTAATTTAAAATCCAATGAAGTAATACCTGCTTTCATTTTATTCACCTATACATATTATATTTGCAGTTTTACCTTCACAGATTCGCATTTTTCCTCTACATCTAACGATCGTTTATATGTCACCTATATTATATAGACGACCGATTTTCATAACATTTGACACAAAAGTTAAGACTAATATAAAATGGCTATATCTCAAATTTGATGAAAATCGGTTGCAAACTGAAAAAGTTATTTTTTATTATTTATTATAATTTAATTTATTTTTAATTGTATTAATTTCTCGATCGTTCCTATGGGGCCTTATGATATAGTCCTCGGATTTTAAAAAATTAAGTTCTTAAGTATTAATTTATAATTTAATTCATTTTAATTGTATTAATTTATACACAAAATTGTAGAATAATATGAAATGGCTACATCTCAACTTTGATCAAATTCTGTTGAAAACTAAAAATGTTATCATTTTTAATTGTATTAATTTCTCGATCGTTCCTATCGGAGCTATAGGAGCTATATGATAGAGTCGTCCGATTTTCATAAATAATAACACAAAATTTTAAAATAATATAAAATGGCTATATCTTAAATTTGATCAAATTCTTTTAAAAACTAAAAATGTTATAATTTTTTTTGTAAACATTTTCTTATCAGTCCTATGGCAGCTATATGATATAGTCGTCCGATCCGGCCCGATCCGATATATATACGAGTGAGAGTATATAGAAGATTAACTACGAAGTTTCATTTAGATAGCTTTAAAACTGAGAGACTAGTTTGCGTAGAAACGGACAGACGGACATGGCTAGATCGTCTCGGCTGGTGATCCTGATCAAGAATATATGTACTTTTTATGGTAGGAGGTGCTTCCATCTCTGCGTTACAAACTTCTGACTGAAATCATAATACCCTGCAAGGGTATAAAAATTCAACTGTTTTTGGTAGAGTTGTCGAGAAATCGAAATATCAGTATGGTGTTGATAAAATTGTTTTTTATTTGTGACAAGTGAAAAGGGAGAAACGGACAAGTGCTGGCCACCTGCCGCCTGCGCTCTTAATCTGGGTAAGAGTCCAGGAATATAGCTGGATTCTTCTTGGCGAGACTCTGCTTGGTTTGCGGGGTCAAAGAAAAGGATCTACAGCTTCTCAGGCAGCAGAATAGAGGAGGCACCACCGCCGCCATTGCACATGGCTGCTCCTCCGTCGTTCAATGTGGAGGCATTTTCGCTCTGGGAAACGGTGGCCAGCGGGCCAAACTTATCGAAGTTGTATTCCTCGTCCTCGGCAACTGCATCTTCACGGGCACGCCGCCGCAGAACGCTTGTAGAGCTGGAGCTTCTTGGCCGTGTGGACTTCGAATAGGCCACCAAAGACCGCCATAGGGTGTGGCACCGCATTGCCCATGATCTCCTCCTGGACATCGCATTTTTCAATCCCCGAAGGATGGAGTTTCGATGATTCGGACCTGGTTCTGCCATACGACGTGAAGTTCTCCAAGCATTTCGTGGCCCGGCTGAGAAAGGTGACCAGACCCAGGATTTGGGACAGACGCTCCTGAGGACCAGGTGGGACCAGGAGGAGCAAGTGGGATTAAACAAACGGGAGGTAAGTAAGGAGACGCTAATAGTTATTCCATACTCTTACATTTCCTTATGCTCCATTACAGCCATGCCCAAGACTCAATCCAAGTAAGTTTTTGAAATCGACAAGCGTATGGAATGTATTTTAAAGTAAAAACTCACCTCTCTCCTCCAGTCGCGCCTCCTTGGGAACTCCGTTGAGCCAGCTCCAAAGTAGCATTAGCCAGCAGTCCATGTCCATGAAGGAGATGCGCAAGATAACGAGCGTGAAGCCAGCGAAACCGATCGAGCCGGAGTTGTGTTTGGAGCACATCTGGACGGAGAACATCTACGGAGTGTAAGTGCTACCCTGAACATCCTTGAACTGCATTCTATTTCATCTCTGCCCTTCAGACAACGTGAACTGTGCGAGATGGCCACCCGAGCCTTCATCCACACGGATTTGGTGGGCCAGACATTTCTGTGCTACCTGCTCGCCCGCTCCTGCCGCCTCCAGATGGTCCGCCTCACTGGCTATGGAAGCAGTGAAGTGCAGCTCTCCACACTGGCCACGACTCTGGCAGCCAAGGATGCTGTGGGTCTGAGTAGATTGCAAATGGTCCTCGATCCTAGCAGTCCTCGATCCTAGCGGTAGCCTAATCCTCTACGCCGGAACCGTGCTCATCGTTTCATTAGTTATTTCATTTTATTATTATTTTACATATAAGCCCAGCATTCCAGAATTTAATTAATGTCATAGGCAAATTGCACAAAGTTTGGCCGCAAAAAGTTTTAATCTGAAAACTAATAACACTTACCAAAAATGTAAAAATATTATCTTTAATCTTAAGTAAACAAAAGGAATATATATTCCACAGTTTCGACTTGTTTCCACGGTTTCCAGGGCTAATGCACTCCACAATCTCACCTCCACAAATGATTTCATTTTTATAAGATTTTCTGCTGTATTTTAGTTTTCTGAAATAGAAATATATATATATATATATATATATATATTTATATATTTAAAATATATATTTGTCAAATAAGTCTTCCAAAGTATTCTTCAATATATATATATTAAATATATATATATTTATTTACTTTTTAAACATATATATACTTATATAAATTTATATAAAATAAGTCTTCCAACAATTGGCGATCGCCAAAGTATTCCTATATAAGTATTTACTTATAAGTATTCCTCCACAAAGCCAAACTCACCCATAAAATCTAGCCTTGAAGCCTTTTAAACATTTAAACATTAAAACACATTTAATCGAGCGGCCACAGAAGCCAATGCTCATAATTTTAAGTTAGCCTTTAGTTTATAACTAACCGCTAGCTTTATATAAATAAAAAATACATTTATAAGTATTTTTATTATTTTTTAAAATTTATTTTTAAGTATATATATATATACATATAAATATATATAAAATATTTAAAACATCCTCCTCCATTCTCCTTCCGGACTACCATAAAATTTAAGACTAATATAAAAAGGCCATATCTCAAATTTGATGAAAATCTGTTGCAAACTGAAAAAGTTATTATCTATTAATTTATAATATAATTTATTTTGTATTGTATTGTATTAATTTCTACACAAACTTGTATAAATGGCTCAATATGATATAGTCGTCGGATTTCCATAAAATTAGACACAAAATTTAAGACGAATATATAATGGCTATATCTCAAATTTGATGAAAATCTGTTGCAAACTGAAAAAGTTCTTATTTATTAATTTATAATATAATTTATTTTGTATTGTATTGTATTAATTTATACACAAACTTGTAGAAATGGCTTTAAATTCAATTTGATGAATATCTGTTGAAAACTAAATATTATAATATTTAATTGTATTCATTTCTCTATCGTTCCTATGGGGGCTATATGATATAGTCGTCGGATTTTCATAAAATTGTACACAAAATTTAGGACTAATATAAAATGGCTATTTCTCAAATTTGATCAAAATCTGTTGCAAACTGAAACAGTTCTTATTTATTATTTTATAATTTAATTTATTTTTAATTGTATTAATTTCAACACAAAATTGTAGAATAATATGAAATGGCTATACATTCAATTTATTGAAAATCTGTTAAAAACTAAAAATGTTATCATTTTTAATTGTATTAATTTCTCGATCGTTCCTATGGGGGCTATAGACACAAAATTATAGAATAATATAAAATCGCTATATCTTAAATTCGATCAAATTCTGTTAAAAACTAAAAATGTTATAATTTTTTTTGTAAACATTTCCGATCATTCCTATGGCCCGTTCCGACATATATACGAGTAAGAGTATATAGAAAATTAACTACAAAGTTTAATTCAGATAGCTTTAAAAAACGGACAGACGGACATGGCTAGATCGAC